TACACCCCCCAACACTTTAAGTCGGGCGTGTCCCCCTACAGGGGGATTCTGGGCGAAAAAATAACAATACTTGTTTTTTTATTTATATATATAATAATAATAAAATAAAATACTAATAATAAAAAATATTCAAAGAAGTAATCAAAACAAATAGTCCCCAGACAATTGTTTTACTATTCTTGAAAATCCTCCCTGTGGAGGGACAGGCCCGACTTAAATTTCGGGAGGTCTGGGACTTTCGGGTCGGGCTGGGGTGGCTTGGTAAGCAGTGGGGGCCCGCGCCAGCTGGCCCCGCTGCTCCGCGCTGGCCGCAGAGGAGCTGGCGCTGGCCGCGGAGGCGCTGGCCTGAGGAGTGGGCGCCACATTCGGGTCGGGCGAGCAGGGGGATAGCAAGGGGGGAGGTTGAGAACCAGCTCGCGTGGCTGGTTTTTCTGCGCCTCCCAGCGCCGGGAGGCGCCCATGCATCGAGGAACGGGCCCCTCGGTGGGGCCGAAGCCCAGCTGCATGCAGCAAATTCCCAGACATCCGACGTCTCGATTTTTTCAAGACGCGGGCCCCGACCTCCCGACCACTTCCCTGGGACCGGTTTTTCATCCCGAGTCGTTGTTTGACGGTCCCGAGGCCCAGCGAGGGCCCCGAAATGCCAAAAACTATGAAAAACCTCTGTCTCGATTTTTTCGAGACACCCGATGTCTGGGTTCCGTACCCCCCCTTTCCCAATTCCCCCCCTTTCGTTCGGCCCAAGAGGAGTGGGCGCCAGATCCTGGCGCTGCACTGCTGTCGCGCCGGGCGCTGTCGCCCGCGGGCGGGCCCCGGCACCCTCACAGATCGATCGGGCTCGAGAAGTGCTGCAGAAAAACGGGGCCTACAGGGCACAGGTCGTGAACCTCTTCGACGCCGAGGGGTTCTGCAACGTCAGATCTGACGATCGGATCGGTGTAGGCGTATACTTACCTGAGATCCGACGTCGCGAAAAAGTTGCAACATCGCGAAACATCGCAGTCCCGAGACCTGGACCCCACCGTTCTGCGCAATTTGCCGAGCCGGACTGATCTGCGAGGGTCCCAGGGCCCGAAGACGGGCGAAGAGGCCCCGTGCGGACAAAAAAAATGCTCCGCCAGGAGCTCAGGGCAGAGATCGGAGGGCAACGAGATCGACGCTTGGCCGCGCAAGCCGAGGCCTGCAGAAAGAAACCCAAATCGAGGTCGGAACTCGGAGTCGAATCGAATCGAAATCGAAGCCCTCGAAGAAATCATATCGATTCAAATCGACAGAGTCGAAATGGCTCCTGTGGGAGAACGTTTACTATGTTTTGCGATAGCGGCCGCTACCAGCCCCGGCCGCCCCACCCCCCAGGTAACAACACGGTTCGCGCTGACCTCCGAACTGTCTTTGGTTACTCCGAAGACATGCGAAACGTGACGTTACAAGCCCCATCCCACTCCCCCCCTGATAACGCCCGTTAGCGCCCAGGAATCCCACCAGCCTTCTGGGCGTGAGTGGTTTATCGAGTGTCTCTTCCCCTCCCCCTACCCCCTACCCCTGGGTCTGGAGGGAGCGTTCCGCGAGCAGTTGGAGCGTCCAAGGTGGCCTCGACGAGGGAGCTAAAATTATCAATGACTCAGGTCTTGGCCACATGTTGACCTCTTGGGGGGGCGCTTATTTACTCCGGCCCGTCCTTTTATCGATCTCTTCCACGGAGGCTTCAAGATGGCCCCCGAGGCTCCCAAAGATATCCCAAGACGGCCCCAAGAGGTGCCCAGGAGGCCCCAAGAGGTCCCCTAAGAGGACCCAAGATGCCCCCATAGAGACTCCCAAGAGACCCCCAAGAGGCCCCAAGCGGCCCTCCAGAGGCATCCAAGACGCCCCAAGAGGCCTCGGCGAGAAGGCCAACATCATCAATGTTACCACAATGTTGACCACATGTTGGCCTCCTGGGGGGGGAATCCCACTAGCCCTCTGGGCGTGAGTGGTTTAGAGCGCTTTTTTTTTTCTGAGTGGCGGCACCTCCGTACGAAGTGGTCCTGCGGCGTCGAAAACTGAATTGCCAAGCGAGCGCAGCCAAAAGATGCTATCATGCAAAATAAAAAGAATGCCGCGTTCAACATGGGCTTCGAAAACTGGATGTGGCTCACCCGCGCCACGAGGAATCCGTATGGTGCCGACCTCCCGAGGCCTCATGAAATAACATGTTTGTCGAATACTGCATCCCTCCCCCCCCCAGTCGCCGAGAAATAAAAGTCCGAGACGGAAAAACGCCTAAAAGGGGCGACGAGTGCGCATTCTTACTGAACGCGCCTGCCAGGCATCAAATTCATCGGCAGCCGCTGCAATGAGCGCAATACCAGCTGATCATTTGCAAGCCCACGGCCCGCCAAAAGATGGCACTCGCTTCGCAGTGGAAGCGGAGAGCACGTGCAACACACGATGCGCGCAGCGGCTCCACCGAGCACATAAACAACTCCCAAGTACCTAAATGCAGTATGCTACATGAGATCGATAATTACACCATACAAAACCGCCACACTCACTGCCCACGGCAATTATTATGAATAATACCGCAAAGCAAAACGAACCACACAATCTGGTCTCCCATCACTATGGCATCCAACGCCGTGGTGAGCGCCACAAGCTGTCCGATCAATACCTTTGCGAAATCAGCCATGCCTACAGATCCCGGCAACGTAGACTCAGTCCTCGACGCAGTCCTCTCTCACCCGGGGCGCGGCAGCCCGTGCGAGAGGGCGTGCCTGCGCAGCGCCCGCGTCGTGACGCCGACGGCCAGCAGCCCTGCCAGTCCGCAAGTGATGCCAGCGCCCAGCCACAGGTTGCACAACGTCAGGGCACCACGGTACTGCATCACAGACAGGTAGGTCCAGGTGAGGAAGAAAAAGAAGAAGCTGAGCTTCAAGACCTGGTCCTGGCGCTGCACGCTGTAGAGGGCTCCCTCCAGCGTCAGGAGCACGGGGTAGAGCGTCAGGAACGGGATCAACGAGGGGCTGCACTGAGATATGAAGGCCCCGACGCCCGAGTCCCTGCTGTTGAAGCTCAGCAGCGACCTGCAGAGGAAGACCACCAAGAGGCTCGTCGGCAGCGACGTGAAGAACGCGCTCTTGATGATCCTCCGCAGCGCCCTCGTGGAGGGCAGCCGAGCCAAGCTCGTCGGACCACGCGGACCCTTGGCCTCCGCGGAGAGCAGCGGCGGCAGGAACGCCTGGGCAGCCCAACTGAAAGGATTCCCGAGCGCCACTGCAGTGAGGTAGAACAGCGTCACGAAGATCTGGTGAGCAGCGGCGGCCGAGGTTCCGAGCCCGCACGCTGCGCGGGTCATCTGCCCGAAGGTCAGGATCTTCAGGAAGACCGCGAGGAGCACGGGCCCGGCGAAGCCCAGGAACGGCGAGATGTCATGGTAGCCCCTGGGCCATGAAACAGGCCATGGCCAGAATCCGCGCTTAACCAAAGTATTGATCAGGTACGCGTAGCCCAGCGCGGAGGCCGTCACCGAGGCGAGGGCGACGCCCGCGGAGCCATAGCGAGGGCATAACATGCAATCCAACATCACGTTCACGGCCAAGCCGATGAGCGTGACCATCAAAGGCGTGGTACCATCCTTCATGGCCAGGCAGAAGGAGGTCGAGACGCTGGTGCCCCGCTCTATCGGGGTGCCCAGGGCGCGCAGCTGCAAGTAGAGCACCGAGTATGGGAGCATCGCTGGGGTGGCGCCCAGGACGCGGCACAGCGGGACCGCGAAGACGCAGAAGAAGGTGCCGAGGCAGACGGCGGAGCCAGTGGCGATGATGAGGGCGTGGGACCTCACCCGCTTCGTCTGCTCCTCGCTGTCGACGGCTGCTCCGAGGAGGCTCATTGTTGCCGTGTTCAGGAAGGTGAGCAAATAGGAGCCACCATCGAAAGCACTCGCAGCTGGGCCGAGCGCAGCCAACTGCAGCGTGCTGTGGTAGCCGATTGCCAACTTGTCCACTGCACTCATGGAGGAGTTCGCCATCACGTTGCAGAACGCGGGCGCCACGAAGCGGGCGAGGTCCCGGCCCGACGGGATGGCCACCTCCGGCGCTGGCGCACAGGTCGTGCGCTCCTGCCGCTTCAGGCCGTCCGGGTCGTCGGGCCCCTCGCTGGAGTCGGACCCGCGCTCCGCCTCGGACCACTCGAGCCTGTGGCTGGAGATGACCGTGATCGCGGCCGTCGTGCCCCCGTCGGTCCTCTTCGCCCTGTACGAGTCCGCGTACTGGGCAGACACCGCCGTCAGCAGGGCAGGGATGTGCAGGCTGTCGTAATACTGCCTGGCCATCTCCAGCTTCAGCACCCCGAAGACCGCGCCGAGCAGGGACAGGATGCGGAACTCCCTCATGCAGAAGAGCGCCATGAACACCTTAACGACTGGCTCGGCGAAGCCACGCTGCTTCACGACCGCCCCCACCAGGAGCTGGCCGATGGCGAGGGAGACTGCCACCGTGAAAGATGAACACACCGTAGCTCGAATAAATGTTCTCGCCTTGAAAAACTGCCTCGCGCTCAGCCGCTTCCTCTTCGGCTGCAGCATGAATGCCCGGAGCTCGTTGAAGGGCGAGGAGGCGGTGCAGGCGACGCCTGCGGCAACGAACGTGTACCAGACACTTCTGTGCACGGTCAGCGCGATCGTGGGGTCGCTCCCGAGGCAATATCGCATGACCTCCGCGCGGGTGACACCGTAGGCGATGTCGCGGAGCAGCGTCGGCCAGAAGGCCTTGTACAACATCTTCCTTGTCGTCCTCACCTTCGGCCCCTGCAAGCTCACGACGTACCTGTAGTTGACAACCGGCAACATGAAGGTCGTGTAGACGACCGCAGCGATCAAGCCTCTGAGGACTGTCGGCAGGAACTCCAGCGCAGCAGTGATCGTCAGCACAGCCTCAAAGAACGGAAACTTGACCAGATTCGTCGCCAAGGTGGTGCGGAAGAAGCGCAAAAAGAAGCCCAACGGGACCTCCCGCAGGGCCTGCCTGATGGTCATACGCCTGCCGACCACCCGGTTGAGGACGGGCTCGGTGACGGCGGCCAAGGCCGCAGCGACCACCGCGGCGAGGGCCCCCGCCCAGGCGCTCGCCGCGATGTCGCGCTGCAGGACGGACACCGCCGGGTGGTTCAGCGCGGCTCTGATCTCCGCCAACGCCGGAAAGGCCCGCCGCGCCACGGACGGCGCTGCGCCGTGCTGCAGCGCGCCGGCCCACCGTGCGGGCACCTCCGTGGCCGCAGCGCGCGGCACTGCGGGCCGCAACCGCCCCGGCGGACAGAAAGCAGCGGCTCCCGCCGAGGGCGCGCCCGCGCCAGGCCGCTGGCCGCGGCCAGCGGTGCCAGCGGCCGCTGGCAGGGCGGAGCCGCCGCTGGCCAGCGCCGCCGCCGCTGCCGCGAGGCGGCGGCCCGCGGCGGCCCCGCCGCCCCGCGGAGCGCGCGCGGCATCGCCGCCCGCGGCTCCAGGGGCAGCGGACCACGCGTCGCGGCAACGCCGGCGCGGCGACCGCGGCCCCGTGCGGCACGGCGGGGCCGCAGCCCACGGGGCGTCTGGCGGCATCGCCCTGCTCCTCGAGGAACGGGTGCCGACCCGCCGGCTCGGAAAACAGCTTGAGCCAAAATGGCTACGGAGAGTGGTTTAGAGCGCTTCCTCCCTCTTCAAACCCCCACCCTCTTTCCCTCCAGGGAGGGTTTTACAATTACACGTTCTAAATAATATTCTCCTCTCCCCCGAAAACCCAGATGTCGTAGCCTGTCCCCTCCGCGCATTGTCTTGTACACAAAGATCCCCAAAAATTGGTCGATCTGATGTTTTCTTCCCACCCGAGCGTTTTCCGTGTTCCCAGAATGGCGCTCCCGCTACAGCTTTGGTTCCATTTTCTGGCTCTCGCTCCTTCTAAATCATACTCCCGCTGCAGCGCTTACCTCATTTCTTTGTTGCGGATCTTCCAAGTCCTGCAGCGCTTACCTCACTCTGCAGCGCTTACCTCACGCTGCAGCGTCGATTCTCATTTTACGTTTCCGCTCTTCTCGAACCATCCATATTCATGTTTGACAGAGCGCGTTTCATGGGCGCTTGCCTTAGGAACATTCGGCGGCGCGTTTCGAACCAGGGGGTGGGCCCCCCCCCCAGCCCCCCCCAACACCCGGCGCCGTCAATCGAAACCAGGGGGACTCCCCTCCCCCCCACCCCCCCCCCCCTCCTCCCGAACCCTCCCCCCCGCCCCAACTGAAAGGGGGAGGGTTCAACCCCCCCCCCTCCTCGGCGTCGGCGCCAACAGCAGCGCCGACGGCGGGGACGCAGCGACGATGACAGAGGCAGCCCAAAGGGGGGGAGGGGTTCACCCCCCCCCTCCACCCTGGCGCTGGGGGGAGGGGCGGGGTTCAAACCCCCCCCCCCTGGCGCCGGCGCTGGCGCCGGCGCCGGCGGCGCCAGCAGCGCTGGCGCCGGCGACGGCAGGGACGCAGCGACGATTACCACCACTACCACCACACCACAACCACCACCACCGCCTCAACCACCACCACCACCAACCCACCACAAACCACCACCACCACCACAGCAACACACACCACCACAACCACCACCACCACCACCACCAAAAACCCACCACCACTACCACCACCACCACTACCACACCACCACCACCACCACCACCACCACCGCCACAACCACCACCACTACCAGCAGCACAACCCACCACCACCACCACCCACCACCACCACCACCACCACACCACCAACACCACCCACCACCCACCCCACCACCTCCACAAACCACCGCCACCACCACAACCCACCACCACCACCACCAACCCACCACCACACCACCACCACCACCACCCCACCACCACCACCACCACCACCCACCACCACAACCACCACCACAACAAACCACCACACCACCACCACCACAACCACCACCACCGCCACCACCACCACCACCACCACGCACCACCACCACCACCACACCACCGTCGTCCTCGTCGATGCTCCCCGCCGCCGCCCGCCGCCGCCGCAGGCGCCGGCGCCAGCCCAGAAAAGGAAATCGTCGTCCCCGCCGCCGCCGCCAGCCGCCGCCGACGCAGGTGCTGGCCCGAGGAGAGGGAGAAAGGAGAAGTAGGGGAGGAGGGGGGGGGGGAAGGTCCGGTTCCACCCCCCCCCCTCCAAGCGACCACAGAACGCGCTTTTTCCTATGTTTCGTCATTGCGTCATACCTGGTTTCCCTCACAACCTGTTGTCTCAATGAGTCGTGTTCTTCACCAGCACTGGCTCTCATGCTTCGCGTGCTCATCTACGCCGTGCTGCGCCGTGCACAACCATGCATCTTGTACCCTCTCGGGATCATTGCCCTGCTCGACATCCGACTGTGCGAATCGAGTGGGGATTTACGCCATGGTAGGGGATCCGAGGGAGGGGTAAGACGTCGGATCAGACGCTTGTGCACCTGGCTGGACCCCTCCCCCTCCCCCCGCCCCCTGGGTCTGGAATGGAGGCGCGGCGAGGGCTAGAGCGTCCCAAACGGCCTCGGCGAGGAGGCACGAGTAATTGATTTGAAAACGGTGTTGGCCGCAGTTTGGCCTTCTGGGGGGGGGAGCCTGATTTACTCTGGCCCCTCCTTTGACCGATCTCCTCCGAGATGGCCCCAAGATGGACCCCGAGGCTCCCAGGAGTGCCCCAGGAGGGCCCAAGAGGCCCAGGAGGCCCCGAGAGGCCCCCAAGATGCCCTCTAGATGCCTCCCAGGGGCCCCTTAAGAGACTCCCAAGAGACCCCTGAGAGGCCCGAAGGGGCTCCCCAAAGGCACCCAGGACGCTTCAAGAGGCCCCCGGGATCTCCACGAGGACCCCAGGAGGCTCCAAGAGGCCTACAAGACCCTCTCAAGAAGCATCCGAAGAGACTCGGAGATACATCCAACAGGCTTCTGGCCCTTCTGCTGCTCGCCCTCCTCCTGCTCCTTGTGCTCCTCCTCCCCCTCCACTACTTGTCCTTGAAAATAACTCCGCCCTGTCGCACCCCGAGGTCGGTCGAAAAGGCAGGCCGGGCGTTTCGCCTGCGACCCCCTCACCACTCATGATCCTAAAGCTTAAGTGGGAACAGCTTCACGGATTGAGGGCGGGCCGTTTTCAAAATGTGACTGTCGCCTTAGCGCCGCGCGCCTTCGCTGTAAGAAAATCCAAGAGCTTCACAGATTGAGGGCGGGCCGTTTTCAAAATGTGGCTCTCGCCTTAGCGCCGCGCACATTCATCTTAGAAATTCGCAAAAGCTTCGCGGATTGAGGGTTGGCAGTTTTCAAAGTATGGCTCTCGCCTGAGCGCCGCGCACAATCGTCTTGAAACATTGTGCAAGGGTTGCACAGATTGAAGCTGGCTCCCTTTCAAAATGCGGCTCTCGCCTCAAAGCCGCGCACACCCGTTTAAACAATTGCAAGAGTTTCACGGCTTCGCATGGCTAACGTATCAGAAACAGCGTTTTGGAACGATTCAGGATGGTCAAGGCACAACACTTACGTTAATTTGCGGAGTTGGGTCAAAGGACGAGTGTTCTGGCATGATCCTGGAACGTCAAGACGCAACAGTCATGTTGATTCGTGGTGTTGGAATCCCGAGAATGGTGTTTTGGCACGCTTCAGGATCTTCAAACGGTTGTCTCCCAACGGGGAATTGCCCTCAGCGGAAATGAATCACTGTAGGAGCCTATGAAGAGGAAACTTTGACGTAGGGTTTATTCCAACACCGGTGATTAGTCTTGGGTTTACACTGGTCCCCCTCCCCCTCCTCCTCCTCCTCCTCCTCCTCCTCCCTCCTCCTCCTGCTCCTCCTCCTCCTCCTCCCTCCTCCTCCTCCTCCTCATCCGCCTTATCCTCCTCCTCCCTCCCCCCCCCGCCTCCTCCCCCTCCCCCTCCTTCTCACCCTCCTCCTCTGGTTCCTATCCAACCTCGCCCTGTTGGGGTATGACGGCTTCCCAGCCTTTATTCCACTGCGTGCTCCCCCACATGCCTGATCAGGGCAACTGGCCTCGGCATCGTTTCTGATGGGCTGGTGGGGTTACGGCATCGTTTCTGATGGGCTGGTGGGGTTACGCGAAGCGTCTAGAATGAAAGAACGCTCTCTTGTGGTGCCCAGATCGAAATCGGAATTCGGAGCCGAATCGAATCAACATCGAAATGCTACAAATTGAATCGCCTTGAATCGACAGAGTCGAAATGGCTCCTGTGCTGGGTGATCTCCGAGACCCCCGAGGCCATGATGTGTTCATGACGTCGGCCCCCGAGAGGTCTCGGCCCACTCCCCGGGACCTGCTTCTGTCCCGAGTCGCTTTCCGGCGACCCCGAGGCCCAGCAAGAACCCCAGGAGCTGCGGAGCTGAAAACTGTGACAAACGCCTCCCGCTATACATTCTTCCCATCGTACTTAAGGACCACATCCCAGAAATAATTTCGAGCACCTTGAAAAGTATCGCCTCCCAGGGCCAGACACGTGAAAACCCTCCAGTTTCGGTGTTTCGTAGGTTGGAACATCATAACCCAGGAGCCGAAACGCCTCCCGCCGCGTTTTCCCTTTCTTGGCGGCGCGCACAGGGGGTGTGGAGGGAGGGGGAGGCCTTCCTGGAAGGAGGCTGCTTCTTAGAAGGCGCCGGCCTGACACCTATCGACACGACAAGCGCCTGCCAAGAAGCAGGGGTGCCTCTGAGAGGCCCTCCCCCCTCTGCGCGTGGCTGACAGGCCTTGCGCAGGCCCAGCGCCCACTGCGGCGCTGCCGCGTGCTCCTCCGGCGCCCACGGCGCCGGCGGCGGGGGGCAGCGCTCGCCCGCGCGGCGGCCCTCGCCCTCGGCCTCGAGGGGGCCGCGGCCGAGGCCACCGTCGGGGCGGGAGGGCGTGCCCACGGAGGACGGGGGCAGGCTGGCCTGGACGGGGCGGCCACCCAGACAGCCAACGCACTGAAAAAATCGAGGCGGAGGTTTTTCGCGAAGTTCGGCCCCTATGGGGGCCCTCGCCGGGCCTCGGGACCGTCAAGAGACGACTCGGGATGAAAAACCGGTCCTGGGGAATGGGTCGAGACCTCTGGGGACCCCGCATTGAGAAGAGCACGACATCGGACCTCAGAGAGCCCCCAGGCCCTCTCGCGTCGCGACAAGGAGCTCGCTGCGGAGGGCGCTCGCCCTTTCTCGTCGGGCTCGGGGGGCCGCCTCGCTGGGCCTCGGGGCCGTCAGTGAGCCGCTCGGGATGATAATTTAGACGCCCGAAGTGGGCACGGAAAGAATGGGTACATTGCCCAACTACAAATGTTGTCCCAAACCAACAGAGGCCGCTGTTGGGCAGGCTGCCTCCTGTTTCAAATGG